GGCCCTGATTAGGACAGCCTCCACCATCAGAGTTTGATTGGCTGCTAGAACAGAGAGGAAAGAAATATGATGAACTGCACACTGGCTCTTAAGGAGTTGGGAAAGTACAATTCTACCACTGGCAGAAAAGGAAGAGAACCTGATACAGCTGAAAAGCTCCAATTATTACTGCATTGTACATGTTGCTTTATGTAGTGGCACTAGGATTTCAATGGGTATATACCTAGAAGTAGACTTGCTGAGTTAAAAGATGTGAGCATGTTCAGTTTTGCCAAATTGCTCTCCAAACTACAGTCCTACGAGTATCAGATGAGAGTTTCCAGGTCTTTCTTTATATCCTTGAGAACAGTGCTATTATAAGACTTTTAAATATTTGTCCACTTAATGAGTAGGCAACTGTATCTCATTGCCGCTTTATTTTAATTTTCCTGGAGGGCATCTTTTCACATATTTAACTGCCATTTGGATTTTGACTTTTGTAAATGGCCCATTCATTTGCACTGACCATCTTTCTTTGGGGTTCTCTGTATTTTCCTTGAGTTAGTGGGAGCATTTCTCCATAGCCCTTCTTTTGAAGAGGGAAGCCATCCCTTTCAGGATCTTGTATTTCGCTATAGAGGATATCAGTTCCAGAATCCCATCTGAAAAGGGCCTAAGGCCATGTTAAATCTGAGCCCCAGGATCTGAGTCTGAGTCCTTCCTTGGGCCACATGATGTCAGCACTAACTTGCAGTGTTCACACTTACATTTCTGATGTGTGAGATTTCCTTCCCTCCTCTCCTCTTCCTTTTTTCTTTCCTTTCTTCCTCCCAAGCTTGACTATGTATTTAAAAAACTGCCTTGTTTTATTTTATTCATTATTTCTATATACAAATTGAACATCCCTAATCTGAAAATCTGAAATCTGAAATGCTCTAAAATCCAAAACTTTTTGAACACTGACATGATGCCCCAGATTGTCCACATGGGTGGCTAAGATAGTGACACCTTTGTTTCTGATGATACAATGTACTACAAACTTTGTTTCATGCACAAAAGTTTGCCAGGTAAAGTGGTCAGTTAGAGAATTTTCTCCTTATCCAGATGGATGGAATTAAATCTTGAATGTTCATAAATGTACATTAAATCAGCATCATTAAAACACAGTAATTGTTTTTTATATATGTAATAGATATGTTTTTAAACCTCAAATACTTTATTTTTGAAAGTGTTAATATTAACTAATTGTAGATCATGCCATTAGCTAGAACTTACATGTTGCCATAAATAAAAAGAGAGCACAGGTTAGCAAAAGATACTCAGGATTTAGAAAATATAAAGGAGACATCTCAAGTATCTAATTATTTGGAAAGTTTTACTGAGCACAAATCAGGTGTCTAAACAATGGTAGGTACTACAGGGTCTATGGTGAAGACGCTTATAATTTCATTGATAAAACAAGATACAAAGATTATAAGGTGCTACCAAGTGATGGTAAGTGCTACTGATGTGCAAAAGAAGGCAATATTGGCCTGAACTACAGTAGTTAGCAAAGTCTGGCTAAAGGAGACGGAACTGAATGATGGGACTCTGAACATGCTGTCTCAAAATATGGCACCTTGGCATTTGAGAAGACAGCAGAAGCAAGAAGGTCTCTCTTACTGTCTCTCATCCTTTCTCCCCTGAAGTGGGCACATAAAACTTAGCTTTCTTTTCCCTAAATGTAGATGTTAGACACTTATTCCAGAGGGGTCCTCCCTACACCCAGAGGAAAGGAAATGTCTTCATCTCTGAAGACACAGAGATGCCAAGAAGAATCTGAACAAACAGGCCTTGCTATATTCCTCTCAGTTTATTACCCTTAGATCATACCCTTTGTCTTCCAGTCATATTTCTATACAACTGTCCATAAAAACACAGTTTTCCCTGTTTCTTCAGGTCTTCATTTCTGAAGGCTCCCATGTCATGTGAAACTTATATTAAATAAATTTGCATGTTTTTCTCTTATTAATCTGTCTCTTGTTATAGGTGTTTCAGCCATGAACCTAGTAATGGGTTAGAAAAATCTTTTCTCTCCTACACAAGTCAGAATTTGAACAATGGGTAAGATTCTAATTGGCAATGAGAATGTAGTAGTATAGGGCCAAGCAAAGGTATGGATATGGGAATAAATAGGTCCATTGTACATTGAAAAAAATATAGCACATTTTTCCTGTCAGATCCCTAGTAAGTTGATAGGAAAAGTTTTCAAGTGCTTTTCTACCTTTAATTTTTCTTTTTTAATCATCTTAAGTTTCTTTTACAAATAGAAAGTCTCAATGTTTCACTTTCCCCAAGACTATTTTTTGGTGCCTTAGCATATTGCTACTGTCTTTTTATATTTAATGAGCATATTACTATTTTGTTCTTTAGGATTTAGTTTCCCTTTACTTAAGGTGAATAATGGAGTATTACTTCATTGTACTCATTGCTATTATCTAGGAAGCCTAATATACTTTGTTATAATTTATTCCATGTTTCCTTTGATTCTAGATTGGAAAATATCATATTTGTCTTATTTCCAGAGAAGAGGAAATTGATTGATTTGAATGTCAATTTAGCTACAAACGGTTTTATTTCTATTT